AATATAATTTTGCCAAACTCAGTAAAATTATATTTATTCATAAAAAATAATGCTTAGCTTAAACTGATAACTACTGGTTTATACTTTTCAATATACATTGTTTCGAAGAATAAAATATAAACTAAGATTGAGTATAAGGATTATCGCCATATTACCAACTAAATTCATTTATTAATATTAAACCACATTAGATTAATATTAAATACAAGAACTATTACCATATTGCTAACAATCCTTATTTACATAAGAACAAATATCAAATCATATTGCTTTAATATAAAAGCTTATACCTCTTCAAAGAAATACTAATTTTAATCACAAACCCACATTACATTTGAAATTAAGATACCAGGTTCCTAATCTATAATATCACTAATCAATATTGATATCACTATAAGGATAGTGAAGTAATATAGTACTAATGATTTATATTGTTATAATATTGCTTAAGATTCTAAAAGCTAAAGGCTACGAACGTATATACTATAGTGCGGGGGCGCTAGCGCATGCGCTAGCGCGGTCAGTCACATGATCCCTATCCCAACAGTTATTGATAAAGAGCTAGAAGAAAGTTGGAAGCAAAGCTTCCAACTTATACTTAAGAAGCTAGCTAAAATAGCTAGTATAGCTGATCACATGCCCTTTAGACATATACACTTTTACAATTATTTTTGTTTTGTAAATAAGCCCCTAATTATTTCATTAGGAAAAAGAAAAAAATTAAAAACTAAAAAGAAAAATTTGCAAAAACTTTATTAAAATTCAATTTGATTAATACTTCTTCTATTATTCCTATATAAATAAAGTTTTATAATCGTAATACTTTATATCCCAAATTGCCCCTATAACCATAATACTTTATATTTCAAAGTATGCCTATAATTGTAATACTTGTAAATTACTATTATTATAAAAATATTATATAATATTGATATTATTATATTAATAATTATTCAATGAAAAACCGAGATTCAATTATAAAAAAATAAAGAAAATTTATTAATTGATTAAAAAAGATTTCGTGTAATACCTGAGTTTCCTCTAATTATTATTTAGATACAACTTTGATTATATACTTCAAGGGAATTCGTCCGACATCAAACTTTATAATATATTCTTTTAACATTGATAATAATAAGCTCTTTTTTCTATTAAGTAATATTCACCATTCCTATTAATATTATTCAAAACTTGATTTCTTAATTAGATAGCTAATATACTAACATTACAATTATTATTTCTTAATAATAAACTAAATATCATAAAGTAAGTTCAAAGAGATTCGATTAATTTGAAATCCTTTTCCCCTTCCAATAAATAATATATAATCTTTTTATCGAATTGTATTATATCTTACAGCTAATACCAATTATACAATCGGTTTTAAACCAGCCAAATAATGATTTTTATATTGGTTAGTCTATAGGCTTTATATCTTTTGTATTATAGTTTATCAGGGCTTTTTGTATGTAATCTTTATAAGTGAGTGGATCATTTATAACAATTAAATCGTCTTATACGAATTTTTGCGATCTATTAACAAAACTCATATGAGGGGCTGCTCTGCCTGGTGGTAGTTATCTGCTTGATCTAATATCTGTAGGGGCTTTTTCATTCACAAAGGATTGTAGATTGTCAGGTTTTACAATATTGTTAATCGATACACTATATGTGAATGTTGTTAATTGATATTCTATTGCTAACATCTTTATCTCTCTTTCTCTATCCTTTTCAACCCATACCTCCAATTATCTCTTTTGCTGGGCTATAATTCTTTATAATTCTCTTAATATATTTGAGTAGAGTAAGGAATCCCCTTATTTTATAATGATTTGATTGTTTATATCTTTCTATAAAATACTTTAATAATAACAATTAATAATAATTGATTATAATAAATAAAAATGTATTAGAGTAAGGGTATTACTTAATTTGGATAATAGAGAATTTTCATTTTGATTATTTATTCGAAAATTTATATTAATTCTTTCCTTAGATCGATTTTGGAGGTTTGAATAATTTGTTCTTTCTTCATTTTGGTTTATATTTAATTCTGATTGTTTATTTTATCTGATAGCTTTTTCTGTATATAATTTTTCGATTATTATTTATTTTAACTAAGGGGTTCTATATCGTTTAGAGGATAATAAATTAGATGGTACCTTTGGTTTTAATAATCCTTGCAATCTCCTATTTCTGATAATCATCTTTTTAATTTGATTATTTGATTTATCAACCTTCTTTTATAGTATATAGAGTTTATAAGTAATTCAGGGTATACCTAGATAGTATTGTGGATTGTTATAGTAGTGTTTCGGGGAGTGGGTTTGATTTAATTTGTATATTTAATAATTCCTGTTTAATTCGAAAGTAAATCAATAATTTTATAAAGAATTTGAAAATAAAAGAAAAGTGTTAATTTGAATAATATAATTATTGATGAAGAGCTAAAAGGAAGTTGAAAGTGAAGCTTCCAACTTATACTTGAGAAGCTAGCTAAAATGGCTAGTGTAGCCGGTTATGTGCCCTCTGGGCACGTGCGCCCTTACAGGAGGAGTAGGAGGAGTAGGAGGAGTAGGAAAGGAGATTGAGAGGGAAGAGTACGGTGGATATAGCATAATTAAAAGAACAAAGTGGATAGGGTAGAGGTCTTCTTCTTCTTCTTCCTCCTCTTTCTTCTCTTCCTCAGTATTATTATCCTCATCTTCCTCTTCTTCTTCTTTATACTCCTTATCATGATTTTTTTCCAGATAACAGATCAAGAGTGAAAGCCTGAAATATACGGGGTTATATAGAGAGATTGATAGGTTTTATCTCATGCTTTTTCGTATTTTGGGGGGGGGGGGGAGTTTGTTGGATTCTTTATTCCTATAATATAGATTTTAAAGACTATAGATTTTAAAAATTATAGATTTTAAAAATTATAGATTTTAAAGATTATAGATTATAAAGACTAGACATTTTAAAGATTATAGATTTTAAAGATTAAAGATTTTAAAGATTATAGATTTTAAAGATTATAGATTTTAAAGATTATAGATTTTAAAGATTATAGATTTTAAAGATTATAGATTTTAAAGACTATAGATTTTGAAGATTATAGATTTTAAAGATTATAGAACTTTATAGATTTTAAAAACTATAGAATAGATTTTAGAAACTGAAGTTTAGAGACTGAAGTCTAAAAACTAAAGTCTAGAAATTAAAGTCTAAAGACTGAAATTTAAAGGCTGAAGCTTAGAGACTGAATTCTTTAAAATTATAGATTTTAAAGACTATAGATTTTAATAATTATAGATTTTAAAGACTATAGATTTTAATAATTATAGATTTCAAAAGTTATAAATTTTAAAAATTATAGATTCTAAAAACTATGAATTTTAACAATTATAGATTATAAAGGCTGTATGTCACGGTGTTGATACACGTGACCGATAAGCGGTAAGCTAGGCCCTGTTGGGCTAGCTTACATCTGAAAATTCTGTATATCTTCACTCTGGAAGATCCTATATCGTAGCTCTTCGAGCTACGTCTTAGTCTACACCCTGTACCTACTGTTATTAGCACCGTCGAATATAGATTCCTGATCCCGCCTGCCTGCCCCGTGATACTATAGATTTTTAAATTATAAATTTTTAGATTATAGATTTTAAAAACTATAGATTCTAGAGCCTAAAATCTAAAGGCTGAAATCTAAAGATTAAAGTCTAAAAGCTGAAATCTAAACATCAAAGTCTAAAAACTGAAATCTAAACATCAAAGTCTAAAAACTGAAATCTAAACATCAAAGTCTAAAAACTGAAGTCTAAAGGCTGAAATGTAGAGGCTGAAGTTTAAAAACTAGATTGAAGTTTAGAGGCTAAAATCTAAAGGCTAAAGTTTAGAGGCTGAAGTGTACAGATTGAAGTTTAGAGGCTAAAATCTAGAGGCTGAAGTCTAGAGGTTGAAACATAAAGCCTAAAGCCTAAAAACTTTATATATAAGATCTAGAGTTCTTGGCGTTGACGTTGGAGTTGACGTCAGTGTCGGTGTCGGTGTCGGTGTCAGTGTCATTTCTAGTGCTTCGGTTTTTCGTAGTCTACATATTATTTTATTGGTTGAGGTTCGTGTAGAAGAAAGGGCTTGCTGGGGGGCTGGAGGCTGGAGGCGGCTTAGGGAGTGTTGAGTTTTTGGACGTTGGATTTGGGATTGGATTTGGGATTGGATTTGGGATTGGATTTGGGATTGGATTTGGGATTGGATTTGGGATTGGATTTGGGATTGGGAGATATTGATTTCTGGGTGGGTTGGTGAGTTGGTGGGCGTGTAGGTCGGTATGTAGATCGGTTATAAACGCTTTGCCTCTGAAGGTTCATCCCCTAATGATTTCTACCTTTTCACTATCCCCTTCTTGAAAAATCTCACAGTTAATATTATCTTGATGTAACAACAAGATGTCTACGGGCAATCATATTAGAAACGAATAGGCGGAAAGAAGAATGAAAGCGATAGGATTTATTCATATACTAAGATCTCAAATATCAAAGGCCAAACTCATAACTTTCATCGATTAAAGTATCACAATTATATATGCAGTTGAATTAAGATCCTACACCTTAATCACGATGAAACATTGCATCATATAACAGAAAGAATGGATAATGTTTTAGCTTTGAAGATCTTCATTTAGCTCGCTCGCTTATTAGACTAGTTGCATCCTGATACGAGCGATGGCAGGTTCTTACATACACATCCATTAATACCATCCACAAAGCTCCTCCAGAATCTCCTGTAAGAGTATGCCCATACTTTATTAAGTCTCAATGGCTTCTTGGCCCCCCTTTACCAACCCCCAGGACCTCATTCATAACCCCCCGCCCCTCCGGATTCATCAAGGTCCCCCTCCAAGAGACTTCGCATCAACATCTTTGTCGGCATAAATTGGGAAATCTGAAGTGATTGATGCAAAGTTTTCGATAAGGTTCTAAACGTCATCATTTTTGTTGTTCAACAATGATACTTCAACAGCTCCTCTGGATTGTTGACAGCCCTAATTGAATCTCGGCATCTCCCTCATGCTGAGAGAACTCAACATCATCTGCACCCTCGACATCATCGTCTGAGAACATATCATAACCTTGTACGATAAGTTTTGAAGTTCTCTCGACATCATCCTGTACCGAGATGTCCTGAGTTTGATCAAGAACATCTGGTGAAACGATCTTCTGGGTGCTACCATGAACATCTTGTACACCAGCTTTATGACTGTCATCGACCACAAAATTCTCTTGACAATCGGCGATTGGGCTAGCTGGTGAACCACAAGATTGGACTGCAAAACCATCATCCGAAATCCTATCATCGCCACCCATCATGGCACAATCGTCTTCATAATCCCTTGGATCAGCATTTGATAATGGATTCCCCTTGGAATTAGATGGGTCTTGAATGAAGGGGACTCTGGTTTGCATGGAAGATTGATCATTTTCCACCAGATCAGCGAATGGGTCATCTACATCCGGCGAACCACCAAGCAATGGCGAGCTAACAAGAGCCCGAGGCTTTGACCTTGAAGCTTCCTCTTTTTCTTTCTGTCTCTTTTCAAGAATCCAGGCTTTCTTCCAGCCGAGGATTTTAGCTCTCGTTCCATGTTTAGCATGTCCGTGCTGCTTGTCGTAGACATCCCGAGATGCTTTTATGGATGGAAGATTTAAGCCGCCTTCCTGGTTGTAAGAATCCCAAGCTTTGATGATGTTCTGAAGGTCGATATTCATCAAATTATTCGAGTCGCACGTCTCTTTCACAGCCCTGGAATTATTTGCAATCTTTTTGAGGCGAGGCATATCCAAGAATCCTGAATGTGGGGGAAGGTCTCCAATCATATGCGTCGAAAGCACATGTTCGACAATCTCCGTCTGTCTATTATCAAAGAAGATTTCCGAAGCTTGTAAATCCTTGATGATTTCTTTGAACTTCTTGTCCCAGTCCACAGAAGAATCATATCCATCCGCCATTCCAACTGGAGCCTTGTCACCGCACCTAGCTTTAATGGCATTGGATAAAGCGTACTTGACATATCCCTTATTCTTCCGAAAATATGGATAACAAATAAGCTCCGATAAAGTTGCACAGAAGCTTCCGGTAAGGCATGTATCATTCTTGATATACCTATCTTGATCTTTGCAATGGTAACCTTCCCAATGTCCATTGGATGCCTTTACACCTTTTGGAAATAAATCATGAGGTGCGCAGTCAAAAATCTCCTTACATCTCCACCAAAGGGCAAGTTCTTGCGGGTATGTGGCATCCAACAAGATTTGATCGTCATCTGTCCATTTTGGAGGCTCGGAATCCGAATTACTGTCTGCAGCCTGGTCAATATCAAGCATATCCTCATCGCGTGTAAGATCTTCCAAATCAGAGGAACCATTAATATTATGGAAATCTTCATCCACAACCATGCTCTTCCCTTTTCCTTTCCACCTCGACACCCTCCTGGAAGGAGCAGTCTTCGATGCCGTGGAGATTGGATCCTCTGGAAGGTCATCCGAATCTGCGCCATATAAATCACCTCCTGCAACGTCAGGGATTTCCAAATCGTTACTTTTCTTTACCCAAGAAACGGTGGGAATTCCAATTTCTGGTGCTTCTGCGGTCTCTGTGGCTTCTGCGACTTCCAATTTCGCGCGTGATGGTCTAAATCGATGATTTCGTGGTGGAGTCAGTTCCATATTAATTTGTGGTAAGTCGATATGATTTTCGGAGGGAGGTCCTGCGGAATTTGATTCGCCTGCAGCGACTGATGCTCTTGTCGTACGAGGCATTGCGGTTGCTTGTATCTCGTGAAATTTTATTTTCTGTTGTGCGGGCTTGTGGTCTAGGACGATACTTTTTTTTTCTTTTTTCTTTTAGGCGAGATACTTCCTGGGTGTATACAAAAATAGTATGAATTCGCTTCAAATTTTCATCAAGCTCGATTGATTTTTTTTCTACTGGAATCTACTCTCATGCCCCCAAGTATCCTTTAATTACTCTTGTGCCTCGAAAATCACAACTGTTTTACTCTCATGCCATTTTAGATACTGTACTAAGAGGAAAGATGAGTTCTGTGGCGAGAGACTAGATTCTACAAGAGAATGGTAGCTTCTTCCGGTACATTAGCTAGCTCTTTATTAGACGGAATATAATATTGACATTTAGGACTTACCATCGCAGGTGCTGCGCCATCTGTATCCTTCTCAAAACAACAGTTACAAGTTCAATCTAGGTATCTTGGCATTTTTAGGTTGTCACAAGCACACAATCAAAGGGAAGACATGCATATTCTAATGTTATTATCATTCCATTCTAGAACTTCTTCATCAATCTCAACACCAAAATTTAAAGGTGCTTCATCACCCCACCACACCACCTCAGCTCCGAGAAAGAGCTGGTCTGAATGTGAAGGCGGAGGTATGGGCTCAAGTACAAGCTCTGGAGGGAGGGATTAGAGGATATAAATGATAGTGTAGATAGTATAAAATAGTTTATTATGCAACAATATATTGGATATTTTGTTAGACTTATTCCCTAATCGATTTGTGAAACCATTTCTCTGTGAATCATATTTCAAGTAAGTGATATAAAGTTTTTTCTAACGTTTTTAGATATATAGAAAATGCAAGATATATTTTCAAAGGAACTGATTAAGCTTTGAATATGTATTATTATAAAAATTGTAATATTTTTATTTTGCTTTTCAAGTGGATTTTGAGTATCGCATTTTCTGGGAGTGTTTCCACATCATTTCTATTCTCTCTCTATAATCTTGCTCGCCTAGGTACTTGATGACACAGCAATCTCAACATCCAGTCGACCCAAGGAAATTTTCTTTTCACATTTTATTTTCACTCAAAGAAAAGAAGTCGGCATATTCACAATGGATTCATCAAGAGGTGATAGCAAAAATTATAGCAGGCGCGTGCCATCAAATGCGACCTGGAATGAACTTAACACAGAAAAATATGCAACAGACATTTGCAAGATCCCGTTGCATGAAGCTGGGTTCTTATTTGGTTCAAATCAAGGAAGTGAACAAGAGTTTCACAATCAGATGATGAAATTTCGCGTGGGACCGAGTGTGGAAAGCTTACAAGCCGTTAAGCCATTGAAAATCGAAAAGCCAAGAGAAATTGTTGATATGAGAGTTCGGTACATTGCAAATACGCGCAAATATGCAGCTTGTTTCAGAGGAGTTCGACCTTTTGAAGGATTTGGACCTTCAGATGATGGCTTGATAGTTAAATCCAAGCGCGATTCGACGACCGATCATCACGCCAATACCGGTTCAAATGGAATCGATATCATGTTGGTGGTTTTGCGCCAACTTCTAAGTTTTCACCCAGAATTGTGTGTTCCCCAGGATCAGATTACCGACGAGGAGACCGAGGTATACAAAGTTGCTTGGATGAATCTTGGTGAAAATAAGATTCAGGATTGGGACATCAAAAGAAAGCTCTTCAAGTCTGTTCACGGAATTCATGAGCTTCACTTTGATGATATCATGGAAAAGAAGTTCTCATTTGAAGATGCTCTCGCGCATCCGAAGTTACAAAATCTTTTCCGAGGCGCTCACTTCGACATCGCAAGCCACATAATGCTACGGAAATACCCCGATGAACCTGATCCAGCTTGGACAAGAGCCATCGCAGAACCGGATTCTCTTCATTTGTTTAATGAATTGAGATGGGATGGCGTTAAGGAATTGGATGCATTCATTGATAGGCATTTTAAAACTGTCAGATATGGGAACGAACGACGGATATTTTTCGCAGCCAAGCCATGGTTTTTCAAGGTTCTATATGAACCCCAGATGATTATGAGGTCCATATCCGAGCTTCGAAATTTTGAGATGGGTGGAATTGTAACAAGGGAGCTTAAAGACACTGGCGGTATAATCATTCATAACAAGGAAAAGCACGTTTATGCTTTATGTGCCGTTGTCAGACTGGGAAATGGGAATGATATCCAAGATGACGTTCGCACATACCACCCTAGCGGCAGAGAGGTTACCCCTCTAGGAAAACCCAAGGAATTCGTCGCCAAAGCCGAATATAAAAAATTGGGAAAGAGATGGTCCATTAAAAATGGTGGTCGATACATGCTTTTTTATGTTCGAATTACGCCCCAGCCAGCACCTCTCCCCGAGGATTATTTTGATGAAGATGCTCCCGAATTTGAACCAAGATACTCCTGGGATACATCTGATGTCAATGTGACCGATGTCAATCAACAGAATCGAGGTGCACTTGAGAACACTTCATCAAGTACGTCACAGTCTAGTTCCAACAGGGGACAGCTTGGATTTCATTCGGAACCACGAAAGTTTGCGCCTTCAACACACTCTCGAGTGCCTATGTTTGGTCCCAATTCCCCAATGCCGATGTTTGGGCCTCGATCGAGTTCCGAACTACCTCAGCTTGGGTCAAATTTTCAAGCACCTAAGTTTGGATCTAGTACTCAGGCATCTGGATCTGGGTATTGCAGTCAAGAATCTGCTATCAATGCAAGAAATCCACCCAAGATGACTCCAACACCTTCTTCAGCTCGTACTCATAGCAGCAGAAATTCGAGAAAGAGAGGTCAAGATGGACTGATGCATGATGATGCCGATCATAGCGAAAATAATGATTCTCACCAATCATCAAAATCAGGTGGTAGATCATCATCCAGACCGAGGAATGGAGAATATTGTAATTTCTGTCGAAAGTCTGGTCATGACGAGAGAGATTGTTACAAGAAGAACCCGGCGCTATCGGCAGCTCGTGGTACTTCAAATAGACGAGGAAATCATTCACAGCGTCGTGGTAGGGGATCTTTGAGGGGAAGATTTGGGCCTCTCAATGAACGGGTTGGATCTTCTACAGATCAAAATCGTGGAGATCGAGAACCAGATTCGGGAGGGTATGGATCCAATCGGAATTTCAATATAGGGCGGGACGGATGGGTTTGAAGATTCGGTTGGAGTCAGGTTAATTGAGTGGATTTTAGTTGATGTTTGATGAGATTGAAGACGAAGAATGGTAAACTAGTTTCAAAAGACGTGAAATGATTTTCTAAATGTGATGCTATGAAATTAATGAAATCTATTTTGCCTTACTAGAATAGATCTTCAGAAATATCTGATAGAGTATGGTGCCTTACCGCGTTCCTGCAAATTTTTTATGACAGTCACCCCCTTTCCTTTACACCCGCCTCCATTTTCTCTATTTGTTTTACCCCGCACCTCTTTTTTACTGATCAGCCTCTAGAGCATATGCTTTCTTTATTATATTTTTTAGTTATTAGGAATGCGGTGAACTCGATTCGCGAGCGTATCAGGCGTTTCAGGAGCCGGTCTTCGTGGTCAGGCCATGAAGTAGATATTTCGACTTGAAAGCCTAAAGCTAGTTGTTGCAAATTTTATTGCGTTGCATAGTCTAATATCTACTACTACCTGAGCACCTTCTTGATCGCAGTTGATCGACTTAGTAGGCCCTGCGTACCACACCCCCGCATCACAAAGAAGGGCTGAATAAAAGCATGTAATCATTATCTCACGCAGAGTCTGCGCTGGGAGCCCGTTAGCGATCCCGGCTAGGATGGAAATATGATTTTCTAGTTTCAGGTCTTTACCAACGTGTTTGTCTATACTATGCGCTGTTTGTGGATGAAGTTGTTATCGAATCAGACCCCAAGTCATCGCAGTGCTGATCCCATTGCGACTTGGAGGACGGTACAGCTCCGATCCACCCTACATACTAGGTTGGCGTCGTGCTTATGTCTCGCAATGTAAATCATCTCTATTTTCTATGATATGAAGACTACCTTGTTTATTATACCTCGACGGAAGATTCTTTTCACATATTTTGCTAGTATAGCCACGTTCTGTCGAAGGTTTGTACATGATCGATAAATGCAGACGTCGTCCACATCTCCCAGCCGGAGCCTGGGCCCTCTGTCTATGCCACGGTAGCATTTTGAAGCTGGGAAACCACTGAACGCTAGGTGATTCCCCTTGTTTTTTTGACGCATGTCACCCCGTAGATTTAAAAGGGTTGAGATAAAGAGCAATCATCGATGTTCATATATTTTTGTGCTTCTAGACTCGGTCTAATCTTAATCACGCGCCTAACTTACGATCTTAGAATCTATGGCTCATATAATTCAGTTGCATATAGAAACAATTCGATTGCTCCCCTTCCGGAGACATCCCTAATTCGACTGCTTCAAATACAAGGAAGAATGTCATGTTTTGGTATAGATTTTTGAGATGTGGAATGGTTGAGTGTATATGAAGATGTCACTTTGAGATGTACTGAGTATTCAGGTATATAGATCTATTTCAAGCCGAAAATCATCATTCAATTGATACTAAAATGCACTGCTAAGAGATCCATAAACTCGTTCTGAATCATGCCCTGCCCCTTTTGTCCACATGTACTTCCAATCGCTTCTTTTCAATCTCTAATATCTTCCTCTCAATCTCCTCTATCCTCTGATTCTCTTCATCATCTTCGGCTGTATTTTCATCTTCCGAAATGATAACGCCTTCTGAGAGAGAAGAATCGATCTGGTTACCTGGCTGACCATCTTCATTACCCAAATTTCCTCCCTCCATATCGATAATATCACGACGCCTCTTCTTAAGAATCCAATCCTTCTTCCAACCTAAAACTATATCCCTAGGTACCTTCATTGCTTTAACATTTCCTCTTTGCCAAGAATCTTTTGAATCTTCCATCGAGGGAAGATTCTTTCTTGATTCCTTATTCCACATATCCCAAGCTTTGATGACATTTTGTATGTCCCCATTCAAGAGTTGAATCGAATCACCTTTTTCCTTTAAAGTCCTTGTAGATTTCAGAATTTCCTTGAAGATTTTCGTATCCACAAAAGCCGAGTTTTTTGGGAGTCCGAGGAGTGATGTACGGGAGGCGAGTATGTTTTTAAAACTTAAAATCTGGGCTTGTGTGAAGTATATCTCAGATCTATTCATGTCCTCAATAAGACCATCGCATTGCGCTGTAAAAGTCGACCAAGTGTTCATTCCCTCCAAAGTGTTCGGAATTTGATCTCCACATCTAGCCTTTAGGGCAGTAGACAAGGCGTACTTGACGAATTCTTTATCGCCATCAAAGTAGGGGAAACAAACCAATGTACAAAATGATTTGCAGAATGGGATGGTTAGTGAAGTTTCATTCTTGATGAATTTATCCTTATACTTGTAACCTTCCCAATGGTCACTAGCCGCTTTGATTCCCGTTGGAAAAAGATCGAATGGAGCACAATTAAAAAGTACCCGTGTCCTCCGCCATAGGGCAAGTTCATAATCATATGTGCAATCCAATAAGATTTGATCTTCTTCCGTCCATTCAGGAGATGATGAGGTGGTAGTAGCAACATGTTCATCCCCAAGTTCAGGTGTTTCATCATCGGAGGGAAGTGCGATGCCTTTTCCCTTATTACGCTTTACTCTTGGTGATGAATTTGTTGAAGATGGATCCGATTTCTCACCAGAAGTTTCGGCCTCGTATAAATCCTCCTCTAAGACCATGTGTTTCTTCTTCCCATTTCCTTTGGGTTTAGCTCTTGTGTCGGCGGCGACTAAATTATCGGGAAATCCGTCCGAGTCTGTATCCTCCACTTCGGGTTCTTGGTCAAGTGAGGTCTTCGAACCACCCATTTTCGCATGAAATTGAATTGTAGAGTGATGATTCGGAATTTCGATTGCTTGGATCCTCCGCCTCGGATCTTGAGAAGGCTGTGCAGTATCCCCTTTGTCATTTTTCGTTGAAGTATTGATATCCTGGGTGTTTGATGATCGGTGCGACAGTTCGCTATTCGGCTGGTGTCTTGGCGGTGCGTTATCCATAGTGAGTTCGAGTTATGATCGTGGTGTATTGAAGTACTTGTATAATAAACTCGGGAGATTGTTTTGATTTGATCAAGAAAACTGCTCGTCGAAAATGTAGTTGCTGAGAGGTTTCCCAATAGATTTTTATTATCTATTGAAAATTTTTAATTTTTTTAGAATGGATAGAGTGAATATACCAATGAGAAAATTAATATTCTCGCTACTTGGAGTCCTCACAGCCAACCATCCCAGGTGGTTGATAGCAACTTCAATACACTCGATTTTTTCAAGCAAATATGATGAAACAATAATACAATAGATCTTTTCTTAAAATACATAAAAATGATAATTTCACTATGCATAATTCTCATACTTTCCTTTACACATACTAATCATGGGCTGGTTCTAATCTCCTCTCACTACACTTGTTGACTAATAGATGGATTTTTTTCCCGTTTCGATTTCTTGTTATTTCTGTTTGCATGGATGAATTTATTGCTACGAATACTAGGTCTATGATGCTATAGTCGCACATGTAAGCCTAGAGAAGGCTAAAGAAAGTTGGTGAGTTATTTCTCTATTTTTGTACAGGGAGCTTGACTCTATAGATTTTTCATATACATGAGAGTAATGCAGGGTTTATATTTAAATGAGTTGTACTCCTCAAGGGGAATGGAAGGAATTTGTAGTCTTGTATTGTGTAGTTTAAGGGGAGAGTGAAGTCTTGAGCTCCTGAGTGGTTGAGGATTGGGGATTAGGGATTAGAAGTTACACTTGAGGGTCAAGTGGAATTACACGCATGTCTTTGCAGGTATGGTTATTGGAGATTCATTGGAAGTGACAGAGGTCGTTTAGAGAAGGGGGATCGATCATGAGTGTATCTATGAGATCCAAAATGCAGTCACACAACTCGAAGTCTCTTATGTTCGAACTCATCCCAGCATTTATGATGAATTTTTTGCTTCAAGGTATCTGGATATTTCCATTAGATTGCAGATCCGGATACTGGAGCTTTTCAAGGTGGGACTGTAGTACAGTCTCTTTGGTACCCTGAGAAAGATCATCAAATCCCGTATTCTTGGCACCATTTAGCCCTTTGCCGGATGGTAGAGTAAAAATACAAATGGCATTAAAACGTCTTTCGACTCTATATGTACCTCGTCGATTCAAATATATTGCCGCTACCTCAATCCTGGTATTCGCTTGAACAAGCCTTTTGGAAAACTAAGCATAAAGATAATCCCCTAGAAGATCTCTTCAGCACCAGAGAACCTAAAAGTCAAAAAATTACCTATATAACACCATGAAACACATAGAACCATGCGTTGCCATTAAACCAAGTGAAATGGCATAGAGCAGAGAACATACCTCTCATAAAAACCCTTTGTAGAAAGACCGGCACGATGATTATGTCAGGCTCTAAAACACTTTCGAATGTGTCAGAGGTTTAAGCAACTGAGCAGGTTTTATTTTTATTGGATTTATTTGTGTGTTCTCTAACCTATTGATTGTTAGATCTTGGATTGAAGATTCTCATCTTCCAGTCAGAAGCCTATCCCGGAGATCATTTGTTGAGTAGTAGACAAGATATTATTTCAAGAGATAGAAACTATGCAGTCCTGAGCTACTTGGAAGTCAGAATAGTTTGATGAACCGAATCGGTTGTTCTGGTGGTCAACTAGAAAAGAAGAGGCAGCATGTGTGAAGTCTTCTCCACACCATCTCCCCTCTTTGCCTATTCTTTACCCATTTTTAGAGCTCCTTGAACTAATTTGTAAACTTTCCAATTTCTTTAGTATGGCGGCGCCTTCAACTGCACATGCAAAAGAAGACGCTTGCTTGCTTTTCGTGTTAAGAGAAAGAGGGGAAGAGTGCCTCAGAAAAGAAGTAAATGATGGGAAGAGTAGACATAAAGAACATGAGTGACTAAAGAGGCCTTGAAAGAGACAATATCGAGAAATAGAAGGAGAATGGGGACTTTATATTCGGAAAGAAAGAGTCGGAGACTTCAATGAGGAAGCTCCCAAGGTTGAGTTCTTCTCGGAGATGAAGAATGTCAATCACTAATACAAGGAACTGTGGTACTTCAAGGCAAAAAACTGATAGAACAAGGAAGAAGAGAGGGAAAGAGTGCGACGAGAAGAGAAGGGGTCGATATCATTGATTATGCATAATTGTATTTCCTAAGTCATTATTTATCCGAATAAGTCTGCCGTATTGTGCTTAAATCCCCCAATAGTTTCTGCCTTTGACTCATATCTGCCGTACTCTCTTCATGTACATGTTTTTCCTCTCCAAACTCAAAAGACCAAAGAAAAATCTTGCACAATATCACCGTCAAGACAATCCATATACCACTTCATAATACATCCTCCGGCACATTATATCGCTTTCTCCACCCTAATGCCTATGTTTCCTTCACAGCTTTCTCTCCAGACGTGCAATCCAGTTACATCGGCCTAGCAAGAAAATCCTGATATCTCTGTTCATCCTCCCCATGAACAAACATCTCCAAACAACTTTTCAAAGAAGCCTTATTCGAAGTATACTGCCAAATCCTCTCACGATAATCCCAAAGCCAGAACACCACAAACTCCCTCGCTCTCACCAAATTCTTCCTTCCAGCCCTCGGATACTTCTCAAACAAATCCCAATCCCTCGGCTCCGGCCAAATGCGAAACTCGACATTGCCATCGAAGTGGCTCTTGAAGTACACGTTGAGCGCAACTCCAATCTCCTGTGATTGTGAAGTCCACATCTGGCGACAAACCCAGTCGCTGGGAGAAAAAGTCGTGTAAAGATGTGTCTTGCCATCGGGTAGCATTGGTAGGAGTTTGTTGCGGCGGTAGTTCTCGGCTTCGCGGAGACGGTGTGTTTCGGCGAGGGCGACGGTCTTCTTGTTGGTCTCGATTGCTTTGTCCCATGCTTCTACGCTGATTTTCTGCTTGGTGGCTTTTGCTGCGGTAATATCGGAACGAGTGAGGCTAGGGGAATGTGTAGTAGGTTGTCGAGATTTATTTGAAGCATCGTGAGAAGTGGAATCTGTCTTGGTCTCTGCAGCCGTATTGAAATCTTCGTTGGGCTTGGAGACTATAGTGTGTGAGCATGCTCGCTTTGTTGGAACTTGCTGTATGCTTGATTTTGTGCCTTTGGCTTCAGAAGTGGTAAGATGACTATAAGAGGAAGATGCTTCAGGACCTTCTGCGTCTGGAGATGCTTTTCTCTTATGTGAGGACATCTTCAATGAGGAGGAATCGATGTGTGTAAAGGGTTGTTTTTGATTACGAAGTGTCGAGAGTTAATGTAGAAGTGTTGAAGAGAAGTTCTCGATTGCATTCAGGTTATTTGGCGATTTTTGGCTCATTTTAGTGAATATTACTGATTCTTAAGGTGCAGGTGGCTTTAGAGGTCTTTTCTGATTCACTATACTCTCTACTCACAGCTAATGAGATTGTGTTCGAAATAGGTACTATTAACACTTTTACATTGAATACCTAGGTAGGTATTGTTCATTCAGAACCAATAAGCCACAACATGTTGTGAGCCACAAAGGTTCGTTCTCTGAACCTAGGTACCTAGGGATTCCTTCTTCGAAACCTAAAGGTCTAGGTACGATTCTTTTTCCATTCTTCCCCCATGAGCCTTTGATAATTCCTGATTCTGCAAAATTTCTCTCGACTAAACTGCTAGCGATACCCATACGTTGGACCTATTAGCCACGCCCAAAATATGCCATGCAACGCATTCCCAATGTCTAACATCTTCTTGCTTCATGTATCTGACACACTCTGTACTGCTCGGTCTTTGAGGTATTGATTGTAGTAAGAGCCGTCACTCGGGGTTTTGAACCACTCGAGACATTTCCGTAAAGGCTTTCTGGTCCCAGGACTACAGTCATTTCCTTTATAGTACCAAAGCCAAAATTGTACGAAATCATGGGCTCTAGCAAGCGTGGTCTTCCCTTCTTCGGAGTCTGCTGTCATATCCTTCCCTTTTGCTAGTTCGGGCCAGATTTGAAATTCCACGTTTTTCTGAAACTGAATCTTGAAGTGCACATTTAGCAATTCTTCAGCCTCTCTTTTGGCAATTGCTCCGCTTTTATCTATCCACTTGTGGTGGGATCTGCTATCATGAGGGAGAATAGAGACATATGTACGGACTTTGCTGGATTCACTAGACGGGGTTCTCGCAACTCCAGGCGTCTTGTCATCCTGGTCCATGGTATGATTCCCGACTTCCATTTCTCCCCGGTTTCTTTTCTTGCTCTGGCTCGTCGCTCTCTGGCTTTCTTTAGGAGAGGGTGGCGATGGTGGTTCTAGGAGGCTGTCAAGAAATTGGTCAACAGCTTCAGAATCCGTAATTTGGCGATTTGATTTGTCAGAAGTGAGCTTTTGAAATTTATTGGAAGGATTATCGTCACTATTAGTAGACTCCGTTGAAGAGCTATCTTCAATTCCAGCCCATTCTCCAAACTCTTGGTCCCAATCTCCCTCTACCTCATTCTTCGCGTCCCCATTTTCTTGGTCTCTTTTCGCAAGAATCCAGTCCTTCTTCCATCTCAAGACCTCATTCTTTGATACAGAATTGACTCTCTGATTTATTGTGTTCCACAAACTATTTGGCTCAGCCCCAGAAGCAATGCTGATGCCCATCTTCTTATTCCATTGGACCCAAGCCGCGATGATATTCTCAAGATCACTGTTCAACAAGTGATTCCAATCTCCATTTTCTTTCTTTTTCTTTGAATGATCCAACAACACAATCTCTTCGAAATATTCCAAATCCACAAACTCATAGTGAAGCGTAAGCTTTCCCCAGATATCGAAAACAATAGGTTTTAGATGCGCTTGATCCCCCTCGTCGATATGAATATCAGCTTCTTTGCTTCTTGACATGAACTTTTGCCATTGAATATCAAAATGATTCCGGATCCCACTGCCCTCGAAGGCTGAATGGGGAATTTTGTCGCCACATCTAGCTTTCAGAACCGTAAGCAAGGCATATCTTATATACTCCTTATTTTCGATAAAAGGGGGAAGACGAATAATTTCACTAAGAGATTTGCAAAAGCCTTCGTTCAATAATGTGCTGTTTTTGATATGCCAATTTTCTTCCTTGTAATAGATGCCTTCTCGGTATTTAGTAGCCTGTTTAATACCAGGTGGAAGTAAATCTTGGGGTGCGCAACCGAAAAGTTCTTTCGTTCTTCTCCAAAGCATTATCTCGGCATCGCAGGTCGCTTCCAAGCAGACCTGATCATCATCTGTCCACGTGGATACAGGGTAATCAACTGTATGTTATCAGTCTTGATAATGCTAGATTAGATGTGTAGTATGTACCTATCCCCTTTCCCTTCGCTTTGCAAAACGGGCCTAGATCGCAAAGGTCCAGTTCACCAATGGCAACAAGATCATCTACTTTATTAACCTCTGACTCACTAATTACTTTTTTGCCCATAGTTGTCGCTTTCAAAGATGTAGAAGATTGACCCTGTGGGATGACTGAACTCTGACTTGCGTTCAATCCTGGGAATTCGGGAAAATTCGTGCACCCACCATCGTTTTTTACACTGTTTTCCTCCATCAGACATTCATTGTCCTTAATATCAGTCTCTGTACGCACCCGCTTTGCTGTTTGTTGCGGCGAGCTATGGACTCCACTATTGAATTGAGGGTCGAAGGATATACTTTTGAGGGTTGGTTTATTTGGTTTCCGTCCACCGAACGGCGACTTTCTTTTCGTGGACATCTTTAGTAATCTCTATTGGTTTTATTAAAAAAAATAATATAATAAATATATCTTTTTGAATGTATATATAATATAGTTTTATATTCATATAATCTACTAGTAGCGAATCACACGATCAAATCACGTGATCGTCGCTTACAAGCTTCCGAAAGCGATCATACGAAAACGATTATAATTAGCTTCCGAAAACGATTATAAATAAAGAATATAAAAAGGAGCTTTATTTCGAAGGAATGGCCGGATTAGGAAGAGATCTATAAGAGATTAACGAAAGCGAAAAGCTAGATTAAAATAGAAAAAGTATAAAAAAAGAGGCTTTTCTTATTAAATATAAAATAAGAAAGTAAATATCAATATACAGATTTATAAATATTACGTGTTTTTATTACTTTTTAGTTATTAATCCGAGTTAGCTTCTTATAATAGACTAATACTAGTTTATTTCTTCTTATATTCTATTTATACTAAATCCTTATATACTAGCTTATGACCTACGATATTATCTAAGCTTTATTAGGATTAGTTTTGATTTTGAGTATTGTATTTCAGTTTTTCTTTATATCTTTATAGATATCTGTTTTAAGTGATATCTATGATAGTGAGTTTTCGATTGTCTAATATGTATCATGTATTGTATCAAAAGCTTTATATGCGCTACCGTTTTACTGTAGTATATTATTGTCTACACTGGACTATTTTCAATCGTGTCGTTTCCGCCTCAAGTATTCTCGTATCAATATCCTCAAAGCTTCGAATCTGCTCCGTCTCATCGATGATTTGAATCTCCTCCGCCCCTGAAATTTCTGTGACCTAAAGTTATATTTACATCAACGGGAGATTACCTTAATCACAAACTAGAACAATAAAAGTCACTCATATGTATTAAGAGAAGTGATCCATGCATTCATTCATTCATCTATCCATTTCCCTCCCACCATCAGATATCACCCCTAGGCTTCTAGACTCCTTTAGCCACCTGTCTAACGCCACCACCGCTACCACGGTTCCCTCCATTGCCTCACGTTCCCTTCCTCTGACTTCTACTGGTCCCAAGATTTCCACCATTCTGGTGTCTACCTTGGTGACCGCCGCCACGATTTCCGCCCTTGTATCCACCACGTGCTTTCATAGCTGTCATTCTTTCTTAACGGCAAACGCGAAACTTTTATTTGCTTCAATGCAATTATCTTTCAGGTGATTGGTTGCACCGCAAGCTCCACATGACTGTAGACAATCTTTGGGTTTATGTTCTTCGTCGCCACAATTTGTGCAGTTTGGCATGAAACTTCCAATGATATCGAAGGCATTATATGACGGGTCTCTTGGCTCTTGTTTGACTTTTGTTTGAACTGGAGTGTTTGATCCGGGGGCATAGGATGCTTGAGATAAGATGGTTGAACCAAATTTGGATTCAGCTGCATCTATTTTTTGAATTTTCCTGCTTGGCTCATCATCGGTCATTTCTCTGTCAACCAATTCTCTCTTTTTAGAGATGATATACTCGCTATCTACTACACGAATTGGTTTAGGAACAAACAATCTGTAGCGAAGTTTTGAAAATGGATTAGCCCACCAAGGATCTGCGCCAAGATCTATATCATCTTCTTTTAATTTGTTGACGACGTATTTCTTTGCATAATCTGGGTTTTCAGCCTCATATTTCAGAGCATAATCCCCAGTCCATGGTCTGCAATTTTCGTATACCTCTCCAGCCTTTGAATTTGGCCAAGCATTTGGAGATACTGAACATGCAAGCATTGGCAGATTCCTGCGAATGACAAGCATGATTTTTTCGAGCGCTTCCCAATCTTTCGCATTGCCGGCGTCGAAATTATCTTTGCATTGCTCAGAGATATGTGCTCTAGAGTTGCAGAAGGCGCAAGCATGGATTTGACCAGTTACTTGGTCAGGTGGACCCGGGCAACGAACAGCTCGATGACCTTTTTGCCCACACCAACAACATATGGCATTATACCATCTGATTCTCTTGGTTCTTTGGACAATTTCGTCGATGCCATCATCATTGGCGGCAGTCTCTGTTCGAGGCTCATTTCCAGACTTTGGATCAATTTGAGTCTTCTTGTCATTGGTTGATGGGCCTCGAGACTTTGTACGGCCTCGTTGTTCACTCTCGGACCTATTCTGGACGTTCGAGTCGGGACGGCCTCCATTTTCACTCTTGGATCCATTCTGGACGTTCGAGTTACTATTTCCATTTCCAGATCCATTGCCAGAATTTTGATCCTGGTTAGATCTGTTGGGTTGATGAGGACCTTGACTGGCCTGCAAATTTTGCGGCGGTCTACGACCCATGATCTCAGCTATTCTGTGCGTCATCGACGGTGGAACGCGAATGATATAAATATCATCATCAACATCTTGTACGATCGGTCTATCTTGCGGAGGTCGCGAACGAGAACGCGACCTACCACGGGAATTTTCTCTTCGAGACATTATCAATATCTCAAAAAATTGAGATTTAAATTCGAAGTGGTTGTGGAGAGAATTTTTTGCGAAGGTGACAAGAAGAAATGTAAGGGTTGGGTGCTCGGTAAACAAAGATGCGTAATTCTACACGTGATTTAATTCTACCAGATTTAGACAATCCATTAATTCACTTAACGATAATAATATTCTCAAGTTATGGCTTTCAAAATTTACATATTATCCTATACTCTCAATATGTATAGGTAATTTATCATTGGATCAGCGGCAGCAAATAACCTCATCTTCTTTGATAAATGTATTCCTTCAGAAAAGTCTATTCACAGACGCCATACCGGACTCGATGACCGCAGATCTCAGTTCTTGAGTATTAGATGCCCTTTCAGAAATTTGAGGGTATTAAAACGTTTCTACGGCAAATAAACTATATATAGGTACGTCGAATCGAAGCCGAAGTTCTCTTGTGCAGACTTTGGTAGTTGCTCTAGCTATAGATGATCTACAATCTAACATGAGAATATAGGAATGCTTCAAATCACGCTTCCACACGTTGGCGAGAGATTCAGGCTAGGATCTGATCATCTCCATACATGTCTTATAATCAGGGAATTTTTGCTTCAGAGAGGTACGACGAGCCTCAAACCGCCAATAAAGGAAATCGGACTTCGCTCACAACTTGCCCTTACTACTTCTCAAAGGCCCATTACTCATCATACGAATATACTAGATACGACAAACACGATGGGCAATAAGTTAGAATAGTCAAAAATGCTCCCACGAAAGAGAACACAACGCCAGAAACGAAAATCCCCGAAGCATGATCCTCTGGCGATCATCCAGACAGTGATACGAACACCACGACACCGCACTTGCACGAAGGGCCCACAAAGGCAAATTTGCACTAATTCGTCCCTCAAACTAGTAAGTCTTCGAACACATTCCCCCGACTCAATTCACAGATCCTCCTTCTGACAAGTTTAGAAGACCATTCGAACAAAACCTACCCGATATCGATGCAGCTACTCACCAATCCCACCAAACCATTCTTCAATTCCTCTCCGTACAAAAAGACAAATCAATCGGCTTCACCTAGCAAACAAGAGCAGCGGATGCAGAGTCAAGGATGGAAATTAGATGATGGCAAGAATACGTTCAGGGGCCTGATAAGAATCACAATATTGCAGACAGAGAAGACTCGAAGGATCACAACGTCAATAGTAACAAGAAACCTGGGTTTCCTCCTGTTCTTTGGCTTCACGAGCATGCCATAAATATGGAATATGGTGTTTGAAGGGATGAAGAGGAGCATTTAGGGATACGAGGCGCATATGGACAATCTTAAGTACTAGGTGAGCGGTACTTGAGGATTGGTATTTTGGAATTACTAGTCATTCGATATTCGTAGTGGCGGTTATTATCTGAGAACTTGGGCAAGATATAGCTAGCAATTTTCTTGGAGGAAAGAATGAAGTAGAACTCATATTGGACATTTAGATGGATGTTTTCCTCTTTTTTAATATCAGAAATCAAGCATCGTCATTCATAATCTTTCTTTCCCTGTAAATTCAATGTAGGCACTAAACGTAGCAAGAATAGACAAAGCCTTCTTCTACTTTGGAATCCAAATTCTATTCTAATAAAGCCGACAATGTTGGCTTGATAGTGTGAAGTGAAAAAGGGGAAATATAGAGGGGAAAGCGCCGAGAGCTTTGTCCTTCCAAAGGAGGAGGCTCAACGTGAGAGCTCCGGTTGAGCTGTACTACATGTAGGCAGTATCTAGTATACGAAACCTAACCACCCCACCCAAGGCCATGACTTGCACACATCTCTTGGTCGATGGTTCATCTGCATTTGTGCAAATTGAACATCTACCAGTGTAGTCATCAATCTTGCTCCAGAACAAACTATGAGAAAGATATGTTCTCAGACATTGCCAATCCCGGTGATCCTTTTTGGAAAACTCATGGAATTTATTGGTGGAGCGACCTGTCAAAAAGCATTCGCATATCTCTTGGAACATGGCAGCATTGTCAATTCTGACGGTCGGTATCAATTTACTCATGATTGCAGACCTTGCCATTACAAAGTTTTGCCACGAACTCACAGATCTTCTTTGGTCTGCTTCGTTGAGTCCGTCGTAGAGTTTCTTTCTTGCAAAAGATCTGCCTTTCGTGCCGACTTCAGATGCCGAACTAGGAGTCATGGAATTCAGGGACCTTGCAGCCATAGTATTTGACCGCGGTTCCGTGTAGCCATCTTGACACGGTTCGGAAAATTCAGCATAACTTCTCTTGTTTGCAGAAGATTCACCTATCATAGGCATTTTCGATGCCGCTTGAATGGGACCCATTGAATATGCAGCAGGGTTCCGAACATAGCTTTCTGGGCCAGGTCCGGATCTCACTGGGGCTGAATCCATGGGTGCTGCTTGATTCAAAATTCTCCCCAAAGATTCATCCTCTTCTGTAAGAGTCGTAATCGTATTGCGAAGCATTGCTGAGAGCTCACGAAGCTTTGATCTCAAGATGGCATTTTCATTCTCAAGAGCCGAGATTCTTTTGTCTCGCTTTGCCAATTCATCGACAGATTGAATTTCTTGATCAGCTTCTGTGGCTTGACCATGCGAATCTTGCGCAAACGATGTCACAGTGGGTTCTTTCACACTTGTATGTGTGTAAACCTCGACATTGAGCTCTTTTGGAGTCTGCGAACGTCCTCTGCTTTCTCTTGCAAAGTATCGCTCGGAACCTCGATATTCTCCTTGAGAAGAGTTTTTAGCCACGTCATTATTCCGATGCGCACTTCGTCCCAATTTTTGAGACTGTGCTTGACCCATCAGTAACGGTGCTGGAACTTTGTAAGCCCATGTGAAGTCCAAGTCTGGGCGTTCTGGGTCGATGCCTTCACGTAATCGACGTCTCGGAGAACGCGAATCTTCTGCGCAATGCCATGACGGCGTTGGCGACTTGGTAAACGGTAACAGAGAATCTTTAGTTAGACGAAAAGAACGAAAAGACATTTTCAATTTCTTTGAATGAAAATGAGATGTTGTGGGAGAAAATTTCTGCAGGTCGGCTGGATACTGAGGTTGCTATGATATTCCAGTAAGCGAGCAAGGCTGCAGAGAAAAGACAGCAATGATATGGAAACTGGAGCTATTCTCGTGCCCCAGAAAAGCATCACAAACCATAATGTGTGCCAAAACAAATTGAAAAGCACACCTGTTCAGTAACATTGAACATGTATCAGTCATTCCGCAGAGCAAACGCAGAGCAAACAATGCACAAGGCCATGATTACCAGCAGGGACAGTGTGGTCGAGGTATTGAGATATAGATACTTCAGAGGCTCGCAATCCGAATGTCTCAAAAAGTCTTAATGGCAGATTATTATGCTTTCAAACACGAACGAAATGTTTTTCTTTCCCCAAAGTATACAGATTCTCTATCCGATGCTATGATACGAATAGAAGCTCGTATTATTGTATCTGGTCATTGCTCCGCTCGCTGGGTATGCAGTTCTCCTATTGTATCTCATACAGTATCCTGTTTCCTATCTCTAGAACGAGAATGGTTCTTAGCATATTGTGAGATAGCAGTCATCATCTTTGACAATGTGTAAGACTGCTGTTACATCTCTCATTCACTGACCGGTTCCATGCCCTCTGTAACCATCACATCCACACCGAATATTCCATAATTGGCGACCTCCCGCACTCCTTACACGGTACGCTCATCCTTGCCCATACATCTGGGGATATAGTTGTAGCACAATAAATGCACGACGGAAGATGGGTTTCTAAGAAGCTCTATTACCTCTGTCCTTGGAGACATCATAGTTCGTCCGCATTACTGATAACTATTTAAGTTTCCCCTTGGATTATATGAACATTAACGTAACTAAAAAGGCAAATCAACTTCTATCCCTAGCATAGGTACCTACCTAGTAGATAATTAGATGAAAATCTGCGTCCAAGGAAATACATAAATTTGAGGCATGCGATTTTTACTCCTCGCACCCCGCATCTCAGACTCAATCCGGTCCTAATATTATATAGTCTGAACTGTAGCCGGACAGATTGTTTTAAACGCCGAAAGGATTTTAAACATTGAAATTATATCAGGAAATTGAAGAGCCATGTAGACTGAATTGGAAATCATATGGAAGGTAGGAGGACGGCATATACCGTACATTGAGTATCAGTTAAGAGAGCCAGATTGCCGCATCATTGTTCCTCTCTGGGTAAACAATCCAGCCAGCCTGGGTCGGCTATATTTGAGGATAGGTATTCTCAGACGCATACCAATCACGCCAATAAAATTGCGATCCCTTGTTATCTCAAGACAACACACCGTATCGTCTTTTGGTCCAATAAGCCTTTGAAACAGCAAAGGTAAAGCAGGTGAGGTGAGATGGTGGAATCAGAAAATTCGAGGCACGGCGCTTGTTACCGAGTATATCAACTTACTCGCCAAATCGTCAAACTTTAGAAGTTTCCCTTGTTCCTTTTCCGCACAAATGGTCTGACAGGTACGTGTGCATTATCTCCCTTTTCACAGAATGATATTAATGTGTTTGCAGTGCACCCCAAATCTCTCTCTCTCATCCATCCATATTGTCTCAAACAATGATGGATAGTGATTACCCAAGACCAAGACGTTATTCGACCACAACAAATGTGCGGCCAATAATCAAGCATTCGCCACAAGTTCCAATACAAAAAAATATATCTTCAACGAGACCAAAGGACTGTCCAAGTCAGGATGCTCCCTCAAGATCCCCTCACAACCATCAAAAATGGGGGCCATCATTTTTTACATGGCAAAACGTCAAGAACTTGATCAATTCATCCGAAAACACCCTTGTCTCCTCATGTGTGCCCGCATGCAATAGGGAAAAAACTGTGCGGCTCCCTAAAATTAGGGAAAACATCATGCCGCTCACTTGAAATCTGATCATGGAGATGGAGAGAATTTTCCTTGCTATTTATCCCAAGGTACGTGCTCCTCAAATGTATCATTTATTGAGACTCATTGCGAGCGTTTGACTTACCCGCTTATGCCTGGGTATTTTCATATCCACAGCAGCACTCATACTTGCGCACTCGCACATACTTACAAAGAACCCAGCTTCAGGAGAACAGCATTTGCGGATACTTATCTCATTCTGGGCGTGTATGAACCAGACAAGCTCTGATGATTGGCTACGGAGGAGGTTGGAATCGCGACTGAGTCTACTTCATGACAAGGGAAATGATCGATGGGAAAGTTTATGGATTACTAAAGCCAAGACGAGACACATGTATGATAAGGTTGACATACATAGCCACGCAGATACCAACCTAGTTTCCTTTACTTGAATGAGCAGAACTTATGCTAACAATCTTATCTTTCAGACGTCCTGCCTCTGTGCCAGAAAACCACGCGGTCGTTCAAGATCATCAACGATAAACATACCTCACCACAACATTATGAAACAGCAAACTTTGCATTTCATGAATATCAATATTATCATATGCTATCTATAAGCATCATAATTCCACCTCTTCCCAAACAGGCAAATCGATATCAACAACAATAGGTTTATTAAACCTCTTCCCTCCTCTTCCTTTTCCATGAGGCCAACTAGAAGCCATCAACGCCGCATTAATCACACATGTCTCCTGTCGTCCCATTCTTCCACATAAAGCTTCTACATCACAACGTAAAGATGGTGGTACTCCACCTTGTCCTCGAGCTGGGGAAAGTATCTCCTCTGGTATCGCGAGTAAAGTTTTTGCTACATTTGAGATTGCCATTCTTGCCATGGAATTGTTTCGGTGCCATCTCTTTCTATCTTTTGTACTTTCTTCCGGTAAAAGTGGTAGACCACTTCCAATTGATGTTGTTAGATTACTGGTACTAGCAGTAGATTCACATGTTTGACATTCCCAATCTCCAAAGGCCCCATCATTCTTGAACGCATTTCCTCCTATTCTTCCTTTTGAAGTCAAATCGATATGGGACATCTTTTTATTATCAATGCCCGGATCTTCCCAACGAACTACACCATTTTCCTTGAATTTAATGTTCGAAGACCCAAGATCCCATTGAATTATTTCTGCACCTCTTGATTCATGAACATGTCCACATATTGCTAATCGTGGACGAATTCTCCATAAAGCTTGACGTAAATATTCACATCCAGCAGCTACACGATCATTCCTTTCATCGCAATGATATTTTGGTGGTGTGTGAGTGAGTACAATATCCACATCTAAAGGAATATCATCCCATCTTTTGGAAGCATCAGATTGTGGATAACCGAAAGCCCACATTCCTTTTGCCGGGGAAAAAGGAGACCCGAAAATCCGAAAGGTAGTATGTGGACCTGTAGGTGATGCTAAAGAAACTTCTGCTGCTTCATGATTAAGGTATAGAATGGAGGGGGAACGATCCAACAATTCTTGACACTTTTTGATATCTTGTGGATTTTGTTTATGGAAATAAAGACCATATTGGGAGTAAAAGGTTGAATCGAGTGTTATATCATGGTTACCTTACATAATGATTAGCTTTTAATTTTGTTCGTTCGGAATAAATGAAGATGGAAATAGAACGTTTTTATGGGGTTGATGAATGTAGGGGGATGGATCCCCTAGTAAAAATAGGTGGATATATTATGCATACCAGCAATGATAATTTTGGCTTCAAAATCAGCATCTTCAATCCATTTGATTGATTTTTCCAATTCCACATAGTTTCCTTGATTTGTTAAATCGCCTGCATGAATGAGAACATCACCGGGTGGTAGTTTGAATGATCCATTTGCAACACCATTGTGAGTATCGGAAACACAAACGAAACGGGTTTTGCGAGTACGAGTAGTTCGAGTTATGATAGGTATATGAGGTTCTGGAGAGGATGAAGTAAGATATGAATTTGGAGGTTCATATGATGACGAGGTAGTACATGAATCTTGAGAGTGATGAGAAGGTTCATATGTTAGACGGTCGAGTTCATAGGAGGGATCAACCATGTTGGGCTATCTATATGAAGTATCCCTCTCTGGTGATGAATGAGTTAGGATTTGGACAGGTCAGGGGTACGATGATGGTGAGTGAAGATAAGTATTAGGTAGGGAGATACACTGGCGGGTACTGTACGAAGTAGTTTGTAGGATTGTAATGATATAAATATCGGGGGAGAGAAGGCACGAAGAAGGTGGTAGTAGCCTTACCCGTTAGCTAGGTAATGATATATTAATGACACATTCCCTTGATGTATAATTGGTCTGATGGACTGGTGGACAAGGGAAAAGACCAACGTTCTAGACAAGGCTGGAAAGGGAGGAAAAAGGATAAATCCATCCATTGGGTTGATTTGACGAAATTGCCTCGATGTGTTGATTTCTTACCTTATACATACTAAGACTAACCCGGATTCTACCCAGTATTACATAGGTAGACAACATCTAAGAATGATATTCATCAATATTGATTTATTCTTCTCATCTCATCACCTCATCGCCTCTCGTCTCGTCGCCTCACACTTTACTCACACCTCACTCACATCTCACTCATACCTCAAACCTTACATCTTATACCTCACACACCTACACACCTCACACACCTCACCTCACACACCTCACCTCACACACACACTCTCTCTTGCATTGATAGACAGTGAACATTGACATTCGGAGAAAAAAGGATGACTAGGAACCAGGGTACTTCAAAGTTTGTTTTTATTGAACACAGATCAAATTACCGGTCGGATACCTTCTCGACCACCTGCCAAAATATCTAACCAATACCAATCCTGGCCTGTATCCGCTTTTTCACAGTTAAATGGGCACATTGGGTCACGATGATTTGTTCTACCCATTCAAGCCATTTGGGAGTTCTTTGGTCCAGCCAGTACCTAGCACTTGGGAGAGTCTTTCATTTCATTCGTTGATCCACTGCATAAACTGGACTTTGGTATGAACGATATGAATGAATGAATGAATGATACTACGAAAGACGGACTGATATAAATGT